TACTAGACGCCCAATAATCACGGACGGTGTAACGTTGATGAAACATAATCCGTTCTGGATTCTAATTCGATCTCAATTCGTGATTCGCGATCGTAACGGACATAACAATCAGCTCTGGACCCAGAAAAGCGTGTCCCCCGACACGAAGCGTGTTCCGCGAAAATCCAAGTGCGCCCCCCGAAATGTATGTACCGAATTTAATATTGTATGTATTCGTTTTTAATGTAGAAATGTTTTTGAAGATGATAACGGTCAATTAATGAGATCACTCTATCCGATACATTGGTATTTATTTTAAATTATATTATTTTAGTAATATTGTTTAAACTTTTACTTTTTTTGTGTCGATAATTTTTAGTATACTTATACTTTTTACTTATTAAGGTATAAATATTATTAATGTATAAGTTATGTAGTGACATTATTGTTTAATGAGCTACGTCCTGCCATAGGTTTTTTTTTTTTTTGGCTATGAAAATCTATTAACTCTATCGACCGAATTAAAAAGTGTGTCCCCTGAAATCTGATGTATATTTTAGGCCCTGAATCAGCTGATTCGGCTGTTTGTCGAATTTAGAATTTATATGATTGTCCTCTGCGGTATATTTCTTAAAACTCATTCCGGCCGTTTTTAAATTGGCCGGCACTAAAATTTTCCCAAGTCCATACAAATTTATGGTGTTGGAATGGGGCAATTTTTGGTAGTTTGTTGGGTAAAATATGAAACTGATTATTTATTAATTATTATAATTATGTTTTGTTTTATTTTTTTGATGATTAATTTTATTATTTTGCTGATTATTATTATAATTAAAAAGATGATTGTTCTTATTCTGATTATGCTGATTTTTATTATCTTGTTTATTTTTTTAATGATTATTATTATCAGCACAATTGCTGATTATTATTATGATTATTTAAGTAATGATTATTCTTATTTTGATAACGCTGATTCTTATTATGTTTTTTTTGTTAAGGATTATTATTATTATTTAAATGATGATTATTCTTATTTTGATAACGCTGAATCTTATTATGTATTTTTTGTTAAGGATTATTATTATTATTTAAATGATGATTATTCTTATTTTGATAACGCTGATTCTTATTATGTTTTTTTGTTGAAGATTATTATTATTGTTGAGCTGATTATTATTATTATTATTTAAGTGATGATTATCCTTATTCTGATTATGCTGATTCTTATTATCATGTTTTTTTTTTTGGTTTGATGCTTATTATGCTGCTGCTGATCATTATTATTATTTAAGTGATGATTATTCTTATTTTTGATAACGCTGATTCTTATTATGTTTTTTTTGTTGATGATTATTATTATTATTGTGCTGATTATTATTATTATTATTTAAGTGATGATTATTCTTATTC